TTAAAAATATGTTGATATGTCTTGAATCGGACCATCAGCCGCTACACGTTTGGGTAAGTTTGTCAGTTTTGGGTCTGGTCTGTAACTGTTTTCTTTACCAGATTGGATTAGGTTTTTAGACCCACATGGAGAAGTATAAATACTTCTCATCTCCTCTGTAATCTGTAATCTGTAATCTCATCGATATAGTGAAACTGACTCTCTCTTTTCCGTGGACGTAGCTAACACACATCGTGTTAGTGAACCACGTAAATCGTGTTTGTTTTCGATTCTCACTTTCGTATTCTTTCTTTCTCGATTCCGCCAATTTCCCGATCCGTAGCATCACAGTTATAACAGAATCGTTCGTTATATTTAATTTTGGAAAGCGCACTGGATCTCCTTGCCTAAGGCAGATTTGAGTTGTAGTGTCTTCATCGAACTTGTAGTCGTTTCGATTCGGAGTTGTAGTAATACAGTCACATGTGTGGACATTATTTTTGCAATTTTAGTCGTTGCTCTTTCACTCTTGACCATTTTATCATCTCTCACTATGTTAACATGCTGCTAAGCCCTGTAAACTTAGTACGGTATGCGCCCCACGAAAATCGCAAGCATGGGCAAAGATAGTAGAATGAAGTGGGTCTTGAGACTCACATAATCACATTGAGTGTGAAATTTGCGCACGCGATATCTTTTTCATTTAATTTGTATTATCTTATTAGTGTTAATTAAATCGATCTCAATCAACAATTGCGTACCAATTAAATTGGATGGTCAACACTATTGACATTCAATTGGATGTTCGACACCATTGTCCGTTAATCAACCCGGCCGCCACTTTCTCTCGCACAGTTTCTTCATCCTCACAACCGACTCCTTTGTCGGTGTGTTTCACTGTTGATGAACGACGGAGCCACGGGCCAGGACCACGAAAAACATCGTTTAGAATCAAATTTCATGTTACGATATATGATATATCAATCACATCCTTTTACTTTATTTTATTGAAGACTTGGGGGTTATTTGGTTTTTTTTTTTATTGTTACACTAATATACCTGTTTAATATACAACACTTTTTTTAAAGCACTTCTACTATACTTTAAAGTATTGATGTTTTAATGTGCAACTTGGAGTTGTACCATAATGTTAAAAAGTACAAATTCATATTGTACCATTAGGTAATTTATACATTTATGTTATCATACAATTTCAGGTTGTACCGTAACATATAAATACAAATTCAAGTTGTTCCATAGAGATATTTGTAAAATAAAAATAAAAAATATAGGTACAACATGTACCGTAAAAACAAAAAAGTGAAGCACCCATACTTGGGTCCAGATCGGGTCAGTAACTGATGGGTCAGTAACCCATCAGTAACCCCTTCTATGGTCCCCACGTGTCAGACACTTTTTTATTTAAATTAAATGTGAAAAGGGCAGTATAGTAAAATGACACTTTCTCCTATTTATTGCTGAGGCTGACTTTTGACCAGATCACATCAGCGCCTTCTCTCTCCTCGCAAAACATTTAATTTTCCTTCCCTTAATCTTTAACGGACGATTTCTCACTCGTTTTAAGTCGAAATTTAATTTTTTTGCACAGTTAGATCAGATTAATTGTGCTCTTCAAAATGATATCCACTTTGATATTTTTTGGACATAAAAAAAATTGTCAGTTATTACCAGTCTATACCATATGGTATTGACTGGTATTGACCATACCATATGGTATGAAAAGAATTTAACACATCAATATATATTACGTTACCACCCAATACCATATGGTATAGTGTGGTAATATCAATATATATTTCGTTACCACCCAATACCATATGGTATAATATGGTAATATCAATATATATTACGTTACCACCCAATACCATATGGTATAGTGTGGTAATATCAATATATATTTCGTTACCACCCAATACCATATGGTATAATGTGGTAATATCAATATATATTTCGCTACCACCCAATACCATATGGTATAGTGTGGTAATATCACACAATACCATACAATATCATATGGTATAGCGTGGTAATATCAATATATAATTCGTTACCACACAATACCATACATTACCATATGGTATAGTGTGGTAATATCAATATATAGTTCGTTACCACACAATACCATACATTACCATATGGTATAGTGTGGTAATATCAATATATATTTCGTTACCACCGAATACCATGTGGTATAGAGTTATAATATCAATATATATTATCTAAAAGAAGAAAAAAAACAGAAGGAGGTAGAGAAAAAAGATCGTCTTGTGTTGTCTCTCATTTCCTCTTCCGCAATCAAGAACACCAAAATGCCGAAAAAATGAGGAAGATCGAAATTGAGGCCAATGAGATGATGAAGAGAAGAAATGCAATGAAAAAGAGTGGCTCCAATTTTTATTCGTCATGAAAAAAAATAAAGAAGAAGAGAAGGGAGCAGATTTAGATCTAGAAATGAGATTGAGAGAGAAAAATGAAGAGAGAAAGAGAGAGGATCTAGAAAAGATAATGGGAGAGAAAAAGGAAGAGAGAAGGAAGATAGAAAGTTGCAGAGAAGTGATTTCTCTTTCCTTCCTTAAAAGTGCAACCATTAAATACGAAATAAAATAAAATAAAGAATTTAATATATAAACGGACAAAAATACTCTTCTTCACTCAGCGTCCGGCCCAACCACACGATTGCCTACCTCTTAGATCTATGGTCCCTATTCATTACTGACATGTCAGTAACCAAGTGGTTACTGACCCTATCTGCTGCCCCATGCTTAGAACATACTACAATTCCTCTAAAAAAAACACTTTTTCATTGAAAGCAAATGGTACAAGCTAGTGACATATTTCCGGTAAATATTGAAACCACACCAATAATAAACACCAAACGTCACACTACATTTTAATTCAAAACAACAACAACAAACGAACAAAATAACAGAAACAAATTAACGACAAAGAACCAAACGTGTGTAGGATAAAGAATTGTGCCCACGAAGGCTTGGCCGGTAGGGCTACTACCATCAGCTATTCTTCTCCGTTATCGGTGGTCTTCTCCTCCTCTTCCTTGGCGAGCTTGATCATCTCGTCGGCAGTCATGAGCCTCTGCTCCCACCTTAAGCCGTAGTAGTTGACGCCGGTGAAGATCCCGTCGTCCATTCGGGCAACGACGACCCTTCCATCCGAGAGAGTGTCTCTCTGCGTGTAGGCGAAAGGGACGTCGAAAATCCCTTCGGTCACCAACGCGGTGATCTTCACCGTGGAATGGGGACCCAACGTGACGGTGTAATTCAGCGTCGACTCCTGGGTGGCCTCGTAGCTTTCGCCCCAAGGGTACTGAACCCCAAACTATCAAGAGAAGAAAAAAAAATTATCAACAATTCGAGTTACTGATACCAACCGGTTTATTCGTGTTAACCTTTACCTGATCCGGTCCAATCACAACGGCTCCCTCCGCGTCGATGATCGGAACCCCGCTCGTTACCGTGGCCTTGACAGCCGAGGCGGAGGACGCGCTGCTCTGCCAAATCATGGCTTTTCTGTCCACGTACTTGAAGTTGATCGTGGACGGCTTGGCCTCCGCGGTGGGGTTCGAAACGACGTCCTCCGCCACCGTTTTGGGGGTCTGGCCGTAGATGCGGGCATCGTGGAGGCGGAAGTCCACGTCGTACATCGTCCTCGAGATCACCAGCGCCGCCGCCGCCTGAGGCTCCTCTGCCATGTTGATATGGGATGGGAATTAAGATGGTGCTGGAAATCGTAAGCGACTTTAGATATTGGCTTTGTGATAGCTAGCTAGCTGTATGATTCCTCTACAAGTAAAGTTTCTCTCTATTTATAGAAAATACGAACGGATGGGTTTCTTTCTTTTGGAATGCCGGGAAAGGATAGGATTCTTCTCAACAAAATTTTCGTCGCACTGGATTGATCGGTCCTGTGGACTGTGGTGGTCACAGTATCCATCTCATTGGGTCGAGGCGCAAGGTGTGAATACCTCCATTAACTAGATGCAAACATGGTCCCCTACCCATCACGGAGTCAGGATTCTTAAAGTGAGGACCGGCTAATGGTTACTGACCTATGAGTAACTAAATCTGAACCTTTAGATCTAAGTGAGTCCAGAAAATTCATATATAAGAGTTATCAATTAAAGACATTTTATTTTCCCTAGTGTTATTAATCGGTTCTTATTTTCTTCGTTCTAACTCGGATTTCAATTTTTCTGCACAGATGGAACGAGTTCGTTTTTGCTCTATAAAATGAGATCAATTTTCAATATATTCCGAGGAACTTTTTTCTTACCAACTACATACCATATGGTAATTTCTTCGTTTTTAAGTCGTTTTTGAAAACGTTTGCACAGAAGGAACGAGTTCATCAGGATCTATTGGATCTATAAATTTCTGAGTGAAAAAAATACTGGATCAAAAATTACCATACTTTACCACTATGGTATGTGGGTGGTAACTTGTTGTAAACAATGATGAAAGTCGTAAATAACAGTTAGTATACTCCTACTATCATGTATTCAACCTTCTTACCATATTGGTATATTCATACCATCATGGTACGCTTTCTTACCATATGGTATTAAATAGGAGCATACCATATGGTAATGACTGGTAAAAAATATTCAAATTATTCAATTTTTTGTACTAAAAATATATTAAAGTGGATATCATTCTAAAGAGCATATTTAATATGATTTATCTGTGAAAAAAATTAAATTTTGACTTAAAACGAGAGAGAAATCGTCTGTTAAAAATTAAATGTGAAAAGATAAAAGACTTTCCAGGAGAGAGGATACTGACGTCAAGCTGATGTGTACAGGTTACTCATGGTTACTGACCTGATCCGTTCCCGTGAGGACCAACAATTTTTTCGATACATTTGTAGCAACAAATATCTGTCACATTTAAAATTTTCAGGGTTTTCTTTTTATATATATAAAAGTATAAAACCAACTTAAAAGTATAAAAGTATAAAACCAACTTAAATTTTTCAGGGTTTTCTTTTTAAATTGTGCTCTTTAAAATGATATCCACTTTGACATATTCTTAGAAAAAAAAAATGAGTCATTTTTTACCAGTCAATATAATATGGTATGCTCCTATTTAAAACAATATGATAAGAAAGCGTACCATGATGGTATGAACTAACCCAAACTGTATGAAGGTTAAATACGTGATAGTAGGAGTATACTAACTGTCATTTACGACTTTTATCATTGTTTACCACAAGTTACTACCCCCATACCATAGTGGTGAAGTATGGTAATTTTTTATTCTGTATTTTTTCAACCAGAATTTTAGAGATCCAATAGATCATAATGAACTCGTTTATTCTGAGCAAATATTTTAAAAAATGACTAAAAAATGAAGAAATTAACATATGGTATGTAGTTGGTAATAGGATGTATGAAAAAAATACTCAAAATATATTGAAATTTGATCTCATTTTTGTAGAACACAACGAACTCATTCCGTCTGTGCATAAAAAATTAAAATCCAAATCAAAACAAATAAAATAAGAGCCGATTAAGAAAAATAGGGAAAATAAAATGTTTTTAATTCACAACCCTTAGATCTAGAATTTCTGTTCCATTTAAACCTAAAATTGAAGATTTGATTACTCATAGGTTAGTAACTATTGGTTAGTGACTATATCCATTCACGGTATAAGGAGTGAACATTTGGTTTGTGTTTTTTTTTGGTAACATTTGGTTTGTGTTAGAAACAGAAACTTTCTAAAAAAGGAAACTGAGATCCACAGGCCACAAGCCCACAACCACAAAAAATTAGATAAAAAGGTAAAAAATGGGGAAAAAGCTGATTATGAAATTATCGACAACAAAAGTATAATAAAACAAAAGAAGGTGGAAAGAATAACTATAAAAAAGATGCGAAGGGATGACAAGTGACAACCTTTTTGGATTGTCATTTTTACAAACCTCTAGGCTCTAGATACCTTTAGATCCATATTATATATATGGGGAGTTCAATATACTCAGGGTGATATTCGGGGTACCGCATACCTTGAGCAAGAAAATGCTATCTAGAACTTGAATTGATTGATCTTTCGGACATGATACTATACTATAACACTTAAAAATCAAAATTTAGGTCTTAATTCTCTAAATCTTATACCACCAAGATCAAATTAATTAGAAATAATAATCAACGGTTATGATTCATCCAAATATGGGGGGAAATCAATGCACCATCTTAGGGTTTATAGTTTATGATTTTGATAATTAGGACCTAGGGTTCACTCATTAAGGGTTAGGGTATAGTATCATGCCCAAAAATACTGTTAATTCGAGGTCTAGATAGCATTTTCATACTTAAGGTATGTGGTAACCCGGATTTCACCTGAGGTACCGTAGAAGATTAGGTCAAAATAGCAATGGCAATGGGCAGGTCCGGTGTGGGTATCTAGAAAACCTATATTCATCCCATGGCAGGTCGGGTAATTGGCGCAGATCAGGGCAAGTCGACCTATATGTGTATGTAATTTTAAAATAAAACGTTAGAAATACTAAATTTTTATTAAAACCCCAAGAAACAACTAAATATGATAAATATTATTAAGTTATTCAAAAGAGTGAGGTTTTACCTATTTCCAAATTCATTATAGCTAAAACATGAGCTAATAAAATAAAATCTTAAATAATTTGAGTCAAATTACATGTAATTTAGGTTGGGGCAGGTCATAACTCATATGCCCCCACATACTAAGCGGGTCGGACCCCATTCTCCTTGTTTTTATTTTTGTTATGCTTTCTGTTTTACGTGCTTCCTTTTTGGAGCTTTTCTCACCTCTTCTCTGAAGTTAGGTGCTTCTTCTTCTTCCTCATGTCCGATCTTTACAGATCTGATCATTGAGATGTTTTGGTGGTGTCAGATTCTCCTTCTTGTTTCATGTTCCTCCTCCTTGCTTCACCGTTGCGGCTTGGTGTTTCGGAGATGTCTGGGAATCCTATCGTGATCTCCTGTTGGTTTTAGTTTCAAGGAGTTTGAAGGCAGAGATCAAGATTCATGGACTCTCAACTGCTGTCCCTGGCGCTTTCATCGGTTCGGCTGCGTGCTTTTGTCTTTCAGAGGTGGCGTGTGCAAGCGTTCTTCTTTGATCTGCTTGCTGTCCGGCGGTCTTTGGGTCATCGGATCTCCCTTCATCAGCCTCTGCATGTGCGTCCGATGGATGCTCTTTTGGGTGGTAGGTGGTGGCGGCTGCTCTTGGAGATTTAGGTTGGGGTGCTAGGGTTTCAGGCCATCTGTTGGGCTTAGTGCTCTTTTAGGGATGACAACTTTGCCCATACCCATGGGTTTCTTACTATCCAACCCAATTGGGTTGGGTATGAAATCCAAATAGATGGATATGGGTAGAGTTTGATGGGTTTGTACCCATACCCATTTGTTAACTTTGTTAGGCCCGGCCCAGGCCTGAGCACGGTTTGAATCGTGCCGTGCCTATTCGTGCTCGTTTCCTGCTCGTATTCGTGTCTAATAAAAAGGGAAAAAATAAAAGAGAGAATGAAAAAAAGGTGGAAATTGGACGGGGAAAGATATTATAAACCGAGAATGTTTGAGAAAAGTAACAAATAAGGGGGAACAGAAAATTGGAAGTAGAGCGGGTGTGATTTGGCTTTGTTTAATTCTTCGCCCATTTTTACTTATGGTAGTAATTACGTATATATATTCATGACACTTATAACAACAACAAATAAATATTTTTTTACTTGTATTTTATAATATTTGAACCTATAATTCTTTCTATATTTATTTTCTATCAAATAAAAGTTATTTTTGTCTCATGCCTGTTCTTATACTCAATAAAATCTCAAAAGTATTAGGCCCAACATGACCCACTTATATACCGTGTTGTGCCCATGAAGTTTAGGCCCGGCACGACCCATAAATTATTCGTGCTCGTGCTGGCCTGACCCATTTATTTCGTGCCCGTGCTCGTGCCGTGCTACCCCGTAGGCGGCACGGCCCGGTGCCCACGTACATTCTAGACAGAGTGAGTGGTGCTGTCGGCGGGAGCTGTGTGGCTGCACTACGGGAAAAGTGGCTTTACGCAACACTCGTCCTGCAACACTTCTAAAAAGTGTTGCATAAAATAAATATAGGCAACAGTTTCATTTTGTGTCGCTTAATATATATCTTATGCAACACTTTCATTTGTGTCCCTTAATATATATTTTATGCAACACAAATCAGGAGCATGATAATTTTTGTTGCATATTGTTAATAATATGCAACACTTGTACAATAAAATAACTTGTGTTACATATTCTAATATTTAGACTAACACTTTGTAAAAAATGTAACATATTGTACCAATTTGATATTTGTTATTAATTAAAATTATTATATTAATCAAGAATATTATTATGTATTAATTAAGTATATGAACTATAATTATAATAATTAATAATATGATTGTATATTAAATAAGTATATGAATTATTATATTTATATTAACTAAGTATGTGAATTTCAAATTAACTTGAACTCTCACTACAATTGAAGAACAAAACATAAAAGAACCTCCACTACAAATGACCAAACCTCGTTATACCTTTATTATTATTAATAAATACTATTGAATTTTTTTCACTTCCCATCGGATCATCCATATCTCGAAGATAATTATGGTAAAATATACTTAATATTGATTTTTATATTCTTCCTAACAAAACAAAAAAGAGCCTATCAATCCGAACTTCCAGCCTTAGCATAAAGTATTTCGCCAAAATAATTATTTGAATGGTTATTTGCCATTTGGCCAATTATATTATCTAATTCTCTCCCTGAATATTTTCTATTCATCCTAGCTAGGAAAAACATTAAAGTGGCATACTTCCACACTTCCACACTTTATATAATGTTTTCCTTGAATAGTTTTTTTTGGTAGAATCCTTGAATATTTTTAACACAATTAAAATTTGAGATTTTATAATTCCACCTTGAATAAGTGCTAATTTATCAGACCAACGAGTCATGGAGACTCGTATGCATCATGGTCAACCTCTTTGAGAATAGTCATGGAGACTCGTACACATTTCTACGATATTTAATTTTCTTTCGATTTGATAATCATATGGATAAAATGTGACATAGCATATATTTAGTAAATTAACAACTCTATTAGGTTTACTAAATAATCTTAGTACAGAAGCTTTGGCATAAGAGGCGATATTTATTAATTGACAAACAATGTAACAATTGATCACTAATTAGGTAAGTCTCAATTCCAAGTACTTTATTCTAGTAAATTACCTATTATCATCGTGTACAACCATAAAGTAAAAATTATGGACTGTATTTTTCCTCGTAAAACAATTGTAGGCAATAATATTTTTTATTCGTTCATCTCTTCAATAATAAAAGCTCTTCCCTTAAGTATGATAAATCCAATAAATTTTCCGCAAAAATAGCTCTTTGAGAATCTCCCAACCCATAAAAAGATCTCAACTCTTCCTATTCTATATCAATATAAAATTCACTACTATTAATCCAATCTTTCCCATAGAATAAAAAACCTTCATCTGCCGAAGTCCTTCTTCTGCAAAACCCTGCTCCTGTTCCATCGTCATCTCCTGTTCCTAGATGCCATCCTCGTTACCGTCAATCTCAAGACTCAAGTACACTGCTCTCTCGATTGAAGTTTTTGTTAGTGTTGACATACTGTTAATTAGGTATTGTACAAATCTTCTTCCTAAAACTAATATTATTTTCAGAGTTCTATTCCACGTGCTCTTCTTCCTGGGATACACATTAACTAATTTAAGAAACTACTCCTATAGTCTTCCCCTTATAACAATGAAGCTTTGTTTTGATAGGAATCATGAGCTCCGATTATATTGCTTACTCGGCCAAAAGGGCAAGGGAAACTCAAGAACGACAAGCCAAATCAATGAATTCTGACAGTGATGAGATAAGATCCCAATCGATAGATGAAGTATATCATTCCGATGAGACTCATAATCAGTCAGAAGAATTGTGTGCAAGACTCTCCATTAATATTTTTATTACCATAGTTCTTGTCACTAAATGAGTTATACGTGACAAATTTTATGTAAACTGTATTGTGTTACGAGTCAAATCCACGCCATTGTTGTATTTTGTAATGACAATATTTGTCACAGAAATTACTTTTTGTGACAGATCAAATTTATACTATACTATTTGGTACAATGCACAATCGTCACCATTATTGTCATTCGTGACAAAAAAAAACTACAATGTGTCATTATCGTCACTTATGTATCATATATCATATCGTCACTAATATATACTACTCTTACAATGAATAGACGTCACAAATAGTGTCAGGAGTGACTAAAACATTAATCACAGAAGTGTGCTATTGTGACAGTTACCACTGTCGCAAAAACCTCCTATTGTGATAAAATGATGGCAAAAAACAGGAATTGTTTGTGACAACTAAAAATGGTTACAAGTGAAATAAATGTGGTGACGGCACGAAACTTGTCACAAGTGTAAAGTATTTGTGACACTCAGAAAATTGTCACAATTGAGTATGTCTTATGTGACGAAACACCCAGTTACAAATAAACCTTATACATGTTAGGTATACATGTCAAAAAGTGTTGCGTATATTTTTTAGAGTGTTGCCTAAAATTGTGTTGTATATGTGAAATTGTGTTGCATATAAGGTATACTTATGCGACACATTTTTTGTTGTTGCAAAAAGTGTCAAAAGTGTCACCTATTACTTTATACAACACCACCTATAGAGGACACTGCTAAAAGTGTTGCATAATACATATACAACACTTTCGGTACTTCTTGCAACACATTTCGAGTGTTGCCAAAGGCCACTTTTTCCGTAGTGCTGTCGGCGAGAGCTGGGTGGCTGGCGGGAGCAGGGAGAGTCTGTGGGTGACTAGGTCTGGGTGCCTTCGTGCGACTCATGACGGCTGCAGGGTGGGAGTGGGAGGGAGGGAATGGTCGACGAGTGGCTTGGCGAACTGGCGATGGGAGAGATGGATGGAGGCAGAGTTGCAGAGAGAGGTCGAGAGTCGAGATTGGGAGTCCGCCAGTCAAGAATCGGGAGAGGCCATCGGGACTCGGGGTCGGACTCGGCCTCGGGCCTCGGGGGATGGCGAGGACAGACGACGCCGACAGGGACGCAGCAGTCAGTAGAGCAGATGTGGGGTTTCCGGTTTTGCCTCTCTGCTCTCTACTGGCTGGCGGCTGCTGCTGGCTGCATAGGGCTCAGCATTCAACATCAGCAAGCGACAAGCCTTAGTTTTTCGGATAGGAGAAGGAGAGTGGGCTGAGCCTGAATGGCTGTTTCTTGGCAGGTTTGGGCTTTGCCGTTTGGGCTTTAGTTGGATAGTATGAGTTGTCCTTCATGTCCTCTCCATGATAGTTTTTTTTTTTTTTAATTATTCAAAACACAATCAAAGATATGAAAGCGGCAAATCTTCAATACATTCACACACATACAACATGAAAAATATATAAACTACCACAATACATCAATTTAACCATTACGAGAAAGCAAATCTCCCATAAAAACAAAAACAAATTGACGTAGGATAAAGTGGGGAACCACGAAGGCTGGGATGGGACGCCATTATTTAGTGTTACTACTACTGATCGCATGAGTGATCAATCAAACTAAGCTCCCTCCCTCCCTCCACCGCCGGCCGGCGAACAAAGATGAACCCAATCATTGTTCTCCGTCGGCCTCCCCCTTCTCCATCTTCTTCTTCTCCTCCTCCTCCTGGGCGAGCCTGATCATCTCCTCGGCAGTGAGACTCTCCTCCACATTCTCCCCTCTGAAGTTGTAGACGTTGACGCCGGTGTAGAGCCCGTCGTCCAACCTGGTAGTAACGGAAGTGCCGTCGAAGAGATCGTCCTTCCGAGTGTACGAGAAAGGAACGTCGCAGCTCCCTTGCGTCACCATCACGGTGATCGTCGCCCTGGAAAAGGGACCCACCGTGACCGGGTACGCCTGCGAGACCTCCGCGCTGCTCTCGTAGGTCTCGCCCCACGTGTATTCCTCCGTCGTCTCCACACTGATTTCGATCCCGGCCTCCGCAATCTTCGGAAATCCGCCCGACACCGACGTCGTCACCCCGAAGCTGAAGGACAGGCTGCTCTGCCAGCTCTTGCTCTGCGTGTTTGCGTAGGTGACGGTGAGCGTGGGGCTGTTGGTGTGTGGGGAGTTGTTGACGATGATGTTCCGGAACACGGTTCGAGGTGTCTCGTCGTAGACGCGGGCGTCGTTGAGGCGGAAGACGACGTTGGAGATGGTCCTCTGGCTCACCCGCTCCTCCACCTGTGTGTGTTGAAAAATCAGAATACGGTGAAAACTGTTACGTATTATTACTGAAATCATATCGAAAGTTTATATATAAAGTACATCGACTGAATTCTATATAATAACCCTAATAAAGAATATAACTCTGATCAATCACATAATAGTACGAGACGTAGTATAAAACAATACTACTCTTACTACCAATACACTAATACCACCTCGAGCATTGCGAACTCCGATATGGTCACGTCCGAGGCGTTGAGGCAGCTGATCTTGCGCTCGGCCGTGAGGCGCTTGCAGAACCGGTTGTTCCCTGCACAGCGCAGGGCGACCACGTTACGGTTCACCCTCACGGGCCAGAACACGGTGTCTCGGTTGTTGGACGTCGTGTCGGTGGAGTCGCCCCAGATCCAGTTGGGGCTGCGCCTCCAGAACCGGCGGTAGTGATTCGACCAGATCCGGATGCTCCCGTCCGGATTCGGGAACACCTCGTTCCCTGCGGTCGCCTCGCGGCTACTCGTGGCAGAGAACTCGTGGTAGTTGAACCTGTTAGAAACCGAACAGAAAGGGAGATAATTACTCTCCAAATTAAAATGTGTTCTAGTAGGATAATTATTTTATTTATTAATTATCTTTTATTATAACTTTCAAAGCTATTCACAACCTCTCGATTACGAGGGCGCGGAGATACATCCCGTTGTCGCCCTTGAACACCAGATGCCTCGGCATCACGACGATGGACCCCCAGTCCACGACCTCGCACGTGTCCCTCCAGCCGCCGGGCTGGCTGGAGGACGCGATGGCGAAGTTGTTGAAGGGCGGAAGCTGGAACAGGGTGACGTACTGGTTGAGCTGGACGTGGAGGAAGCGGATGAGCGGGTTCCGGCCCCCCTGGGGGTTGTCCACGGCGCCGTCGGAGACGGGCCTGAAGAGCGTGCACGACCACTTGGATCGGTCCTCTTCGGCACTGTCCGCCGCGGCGGCGATCCACAGCTGGGTGTCGGAGGATCGCACCAAGTACTTGTTGTTGTAGCCGCACCGGAGATGGACCAGGCCTACAGCGCTCGTGGAATGCTGGACTTCGAACTTGACGTGAGGGCTGATGACGGTTTCTCCGGTGAACTGGAGGAAACCGTGTTGTGCTGTGTCTTCGTGTGTGAAACGCAGGTATCTCTGGTTGTGATGGTTCTTCAGCATCACGTACTGTGGCAACGCCACCGAAAACTCTTGTGCCATGGTGAATTGGTGATGGTAGATTGATGAGATGGGGATGGGAAGGATGGTTTTCTAGAAATGGTAAGCGACTTTAGATATTGGACTTGTGATGACTGTATGATGCCGTGAGTTTCTATTTATAGAAATAGACATGGATGGATTTCTTTTGTATGTGGTTAGCTTTTCTTTTTTCTTTGTGGTTTCTAGTGGTGTAGTTGGCTTGTTGCTAGTGTTTGTGGTATGTATGTATTATAGTTGAGATTTGGTTCTTGTTGATGAATTAGAAGAGTGGTCGAGCGAGCTGCTAACACAAATTGGGAAGTGAGATGTGTTCACGATTTGGTATGGTAAATCGTGATCCAAACCAAAGAATTGCATACATCCTATAATACAGACCGTAGATCAAATCAGATCATTCTTAATGGTATACGATTCATACCAAACTGTGTGTTCAATTTGGTACACGATTTTTCAAATGGTCTAATATATTTTCCTTCTCATATTGGAACCCACTTCATTATGCTCTCTTCCGTGGCTAACAAAAATGTTTAGATCACCTTAGAAAAGACCTCACAATCTCACCACACTGCAAAAATAATAAACTACACCACAAACTCACGAAACAAACCACAAGTTCCATAAAGCACACCACAAGCAAGTATACAACAATTTCTCATCCCATTTAACTGTCGATGTATGGAACAATATTATCGTTACATTTTTAATATTAATTAGGAGGGTATGTTTGTGCAAAAATTTAATAGAGGAGAACATATGTTATATTTTTTAGAGGGGTACAAAATGTTGTTAACCCTAAAAGATATATTGTTAGATCATCCACATCAGACTACCATATTTAATTGCAAAGTGATGTGATAATGAAAATACATTCGCATTTTAATTGCATTGATGAAGTCTTAATTGCAATAATGTAAGTTACTATTTCTTACAATTTCATTTACAATTCCACATGTACATTGATGGTTTTCTTTTAATTTTACCTATGAATAAAATAATAAAGATATAAACTCTTTATTTTATTAAAAAATAAATTAGTTTCAAATATTCAATTGCATGGTAAATGCATTGATGTAGGAAGGATTGTAGGTTAATGAAAAAAAAAAGTTGAATTGCAAAAAATTTGAGGTGACAATAAAGAGTACAAACAATTATTGTTGCAACTTGCAATCAAAAATCAATATGGATGCTTTTAAATTTAAAGAAAAGAAAATAAATGACATAATAATTCTAAAATAAGATAACTACAGGTCACTTGTCAATACTCAATACCAATTGACCCGTTTGGATTGGAACGCCGGAAAAATGGTCCTGCGGGTGAATGCCCCTTCCCACGTTACAGTGTCCCTTTGCAGAGTAGTCTGGTCTCTGCGTCCATCAAAATGATCCTGCAGAGGTCATAGTTTCCATCTCATTCGGTCAGACTCATGCCATGAATATCATCCATCTCATTTAATCAATAACGATTTTTGGAATTAGTAGAATGATGAATTTATGAATAATTGTTTGGATGTGTAAATCGAAAAAGGTTTGATTTGCGACATAAACAGTGAATGATTTTTTTTTTATGAGGGTGATTGCATTAAAAATAAAACAAGTCAAACTGAAAGAGACTGTCAGAGAGCAGTATAGGAAAGAGTGATCAACATGATTGATCACAAACAGAAATCGAAAGGAAAAGCAAGAACAAAGAACACCCCAAAGAGGGGAAAACAAAACAAGGAAGACCAGACTTCCCCTGTACCCCCACACAAGAAGACTGCCCAAAGCAGCCGACCGAGAAAAACCGGAACAAAGAAACAAAAACAACAGGAAAAGCAAGAAGCAAACCGGCGAAAAGCACACCACAAGCCAACATCGATCCAACATATCAGCAGCATCTGAAATCAAAGATTGCTAGTCATGTCCTGCAAACGCCTGGCTCCAACCTCTTTATCAATCTTGCCATGCGCAATTGCCCAATCTAACGTGTTCAATAGAGCTTTGCGGGCAACAACCTGTACAAACCAACCTGCAACAACTCCAAGACCGGCCTCGCCGCCATGGATCAGCCGATCAACAAGCTCTCGTGCAGCCAAGCCTGACCCTGAGTTTTATCAATGTGATCATGGGACATCAGCCATTCCATCGCGTTCCTCGCTGCTTTTCTAGCCACCCCGATAGCAGTCGACTTCTTCTCTTCGAACACCCGCTGATTCCTTTCCAACCACACGAACCACCAAACCGCATGTAAGATATAGTATGTAAACCACTCCCCGACGTTTCCCGGCTTGGAATGAGGGTTGTGCTTGATTATTAGTTTCACCTCTAGGACAACACCGATCTAACCCTGTTGATAATTCTCCACACTTCCTTCACGAACTCACACTCCACCCGTAAGTGATTAATGGATTCTTCATTTTTACAACAGAGACAACATCTGTTTGCCATCGACCAACCTCTCCTCTTCAAGCTGTCAACTGTGAGTATCTTGTTATGAAAAACCATCCACATAAAAAAGCACACTTTACTAGGGATCAACTTCTTCCATATTTGTTTCAACGGAAAATCATTCACTCCTGGTAGCATTTCATGCACAAGCTTCCGATAAAACGAGCTCACCGAGAACTTACTGTTTGGATCAGGATTCCAAACTATTCTACACGGACTAAGAGCGTTATTGTTCATGGGAATATTATTAAGAAAGTTCAACAATTCTACCCTTTCCCTTTCAGCACCCATACAACGACATTATGTACTTTATGAAATATTTTATTTTATTTGATGATACACTTTTTCAGATCTAGCATTCATCGTAAAATACAATGACATTATGAACTTTATGAAAATTTTGATTTATTTTATTTGCTGATACACTTGTTCCGAAATCCCGGGTCCACCATTGTTTAGCAACTTACCATTGACTAGTATTGAAATAAAAGCATAGCTATGGTTTGAAAAAAGTACCATGGTGGTATAAACAAACCAAGACTGTAGGATGGTTGAATACATGATAGTAGAAATATATTAATTGTCATTTACGACTTTTAACATTGTATACCACAAGATACCACCCCGTACCAGGGTGGTATTGTGTGATATTTTTTGGTCCTGTAATTTGTTCACCCATAAATTTGTAGATCCAATAGATCATGATGAACTCGTCCCTTCTGTGCAAACGTTTTCAAAAACGAATTAAAAACGAAGAAGATACCCTACAATACCACCCCGTACTAGGGTGGTATTGTATGGTATTGTGCGGTATTTTTTGGTCCTGTAATTTGTTCACCCAGAAATTTGTAGATCCAATATATCATGATGAGCTCGTCCCTTCTGTGCAAACGTTTTCAAAAACGAATTAAAAATGAAGAAAATACCATATGGTATGCAGTTGGTACCGAGAGGACAGAATGTTTTGTTCTAAAAAAATATTGAAAATTGATCTCATTTTGTAAAGCACGATGAACTCGTTCCACCTGTGCAAAAAAAATTAAAATCCGAGTTAAAACGAAAAAGATATGAGCCGATTAAGAAAGCTAGAAAAAATAAAAATGATCTTTAATTCTCCATCATTAGATCTGAATTTTCTAAATGAAGGGTACAGATTTGGTTATTGATGGATGCATAACCCATGTTTATGCACCCTATCTTGAACCATAATAGATATCGTCGGTAGTTAGACAAAGCAAGCAAATATGCAGACCGGCCGGCAAATCCCAAGGTTTGGAACGCCGCAAACATGGTCCCGACGGAAGGACCAGGTTCCGTCTCATTGAGTCGGCCGGCGGTGAATGCTACGTACCCCAAGATCTGGACTGGACGCAGACATGGTCCCCAATCTCCATGCATTAGTCACAGTTAGTCGCGTAGCCCGACTTTGAATAGACCGGCGTTCTTAAATTTTTTGAATCGATTGGGGTCCTTATATGAGAGGGTATCGACGAAAGTATGTGGTCCTATATTTCAAGAATCATACTAAAACACATATTTAAAAGGTTTTAATACCCAATTTTTCGCCAAGTAGCAGCAATGACTCGAGTGTTACGTAGCAGCAAAATTGTCCCGCCGGAAGGACCAGTAGTTTCCGTCTCATTCGTCCCCGTGCAGTTTCCATCGAAGTGCCATTACGCGGCCGGGGCATCCAACATCTACTTGAGCTGCCGATTTTTTTATGCTTCCATTCGTTTGATCGACAGTGTGGCGTTTTCTCCAGTGCTGTAATTCTCCAATAATGCTCTGATAAGAAAACATCAGAAATATATGGTCCCTTGCAAGCAATAATATATCCTCATTCAACAATTGCAGCAACCATCCACCATAACTGTTTATAGCCACCTGCAATATCTAGTCATGTCATTACTTCGTCATTATCCATTCCTATCATTTATATTCATCAGATAATGTATATAATACTTTCCCTACAAACTTAAAGCCAGAATAGCGAGGATTTCATATAAGGTGCAGTGGCATAGCCAGAATTTTATCTAAGTGGATACATTAAAAGAATTTTTTTAACTGTTATCCATGATGCGATCTCATGTTTCATTGGAATTTTTTTTTATATCAACATGTTTATTGACAAAAAGTATTGGCAAACTAAACCTAACATGCACAATTAAATACATCGATAGGAATCAACTTTCTCCTCCGACTATTATTATTATAGAAAGTTAATAATTTCCTTTAATAATATGCAATGGCACCCTCTTATCCATTTTGATAAACTAAAATGTATTAATGTCTAAATTAGTAGATAAAACTAACTTATATAATTGAATGTGGTTGAATTGTAAAATTTGACAATTGACATTAAAAATTGGGGTTTATATTTCATTATTGGTATATTACTCTCTAGCTACTGCCTGATAAGGTGGGTCCGAATTTACAACAAATACTGTTAGATTTTTTTGTGTGGATATTTTACATTGTTCCCGGAATTTAAAGAAGCAAAAAAAAAAAAAAAGTAAAGATTGACCAGTTATGGTAGCGCTATTAATAACCACAGTCGAATAGAGTTTTCTTGGCTCGTTTATCGATGAGATGAGTGAAGTCGAGTTGAAACCGACTCAATTATTAAAACTTTGATTCATCATTAAGATCACGAGTTTGG